CGCCGCCGCCGCCATCGCTGAGATCCGACGTCGCGAAAAAAATGCAACACCAAAACAAAGTTCACATCCAGAGCCGCAGACCCTAGACCCCGTCTTTCGTGCTCATTTTTCGAGCCCCATCGATCCGCGAGGGTCCCGAGACCCTGAACAGAGCAAGGTCGCCCGTTGCGAAGAGAATGCAACGCTAGGACCTCAGGGGTCATCACTGCTGCCGCCGCCATCGATCGCCGCTGCCCCCAGCTCTCGAAGAGTACAAAAAGTGTATAAACATGAAGATGCATCTTCGGAGCTCCTTGGATCGGCGCTGGGGCCCCCTCGGCCACGCCTTCGGCACCGCCCCCGGCGCGCGGAGCGCACCACGGAGGGGGGTCCAGGGGGCAGGGTCCAGTTCCGATCCGAGAACTTCGCTCGGACCTCCGAGAGCTCTGGCTTATGCCAGAAAGACAGCTGTCGAATCGGGTGGGAGAACTGATCATGCCATCAGCGCTGCCGCGTTTGTTCAGTGCGTTCATTACACAGTCGTGCCCTGAACCTTCCCAACCCCTTCCTCCCAGCATTAAGTCGGGCATGTCCCCCTATAGAGAGCTTCTCGACGAAAAATAAAAAGTATCCCACAAATAGTCAAAAAATAGTCCAAAAATAGTCTGGGGACTATTGTTTGAATATTTTTTTACTTTTTGGTGTTTTTTTTTTTTCGTCGAAAATCCCCCTGTAGGGGGACACGCCCGACTTCCTCCCAGCATGGTTCTCATCCTTCTCGTCACTCCAGCGTTTGCTCCTCGGAGAAGCGGCACCGGAGGTCCCGACCCCTTCCCCAACTTTGGGTGGCCTGTCGCCCCCGCTCCCTGGGGCCCGATGATACCGCGAGGTCAACGATTCATGCAGCCAGTGGGCTGAAGTAGGGGCCGCTCTTGGCTCGGGAGGGGCTCCGATGTCTGGGCTGTCTGGGTCGTTCCTCAGGTCTGGGCCGGGGGCCTGTTCGTGGCCGAGGCTCGCCGTGACCAGAACATCTCCCTCGTTTCTTTTCGCGTTCCCAGTGGCCGCGCGTTGACTGCATCGTCGGAGGCCCGGGCCACGAGTGCTCGAGCCCCGAGCGGCGCCGCAGCCGCCGCTGTCGCCGCAGTCGATCGCCGCTGCCGCCGCCGCTCGGCGGCGGCAGCGGTTGTGGCGCCGATTTTGAGTCGATGAGCTTCGACTAGCGCTGATGTTGCGTAGGTTTAGCGTCGACTTCGCGTCGATCCGCATGATCATTCGAGCCAACAAGATGGTACGCGAGGCTCCGATGAGTTGCCACCGAATGTTTACGGCGATGCCACCACTTCCCAGACCTCCCCATGGGGTGCGCTCTGGCCAGAACCTCCAGGCGAACCCGGCCGTGGCGACGAGGGCCTCCCAGGAGGCCCAGAAACAGGCGCAGGCGAGGCGCAGCTCTAAGGCATCCGCGCGGAGGAGGAGGAGGAGGAGGAGGAGGAGGAGGAGGAGGAGGAGGAGTAATTTAGAGGAGGAGGAGGAGGAGGAGGAGGAGGAGGAGGAGGAGGACCTCCCACAGTTGATGCTCGTGCCGTTGCCTGCGCCTCTCGCCTGCGGCGGTCTGCGGCGGCCCCTCCGCGAAGGCCCTCGGCTTGCCGCACGGCGGCGCCGAGCCGGACGGCCACGCGCCCGCCCGCGAGCCCGGCGGCGGCGCGCCAGCGGCGCGGCCCTCGTCGACCCCGCGCTCGCCGCCCGCAAGCAGGCCCTCGTCGTCGCTCATGCGCGTCGTTGCCCCCCCCTCGCGGCGTGCAGAGTCCCTCGAGGAGCCAGCGGAGGAGGTGGAGGAGGACGCCCTGGGGAGGTGGAGGAGGACGCCTTGGGGAGGTGGAGGAGATGGAGGTGGAGGAGGACGCCTTGGGGGGGTGGAGGAGGACGCCCTGGGGAGGTGGAGGAGGACGCCTTGGGTAGGCGCAGGAGATGGAGGTGGAGGAGGACGCCTTAGGGAGGTGGGAGGAGGACGCCCTGGGGAGGTCGAGGAACCAGGCGAGGAGGTGGAGGAGGGCGCCCCCTGGGGGGGAATACGCTGTCCTTCTCGGGATCGGGGCCAACAAAGTGCGGTGGCCGCGACGCACGCCGCGCGAGGCGGCTCACGGGCCAGACTGCTTGAGCCAAAGCGCGGGAAGAATCATTCGAGGAACAAGCGGAGGAGGTGGAGGAGGACGCCCTGGGGGACGGTGCTGACGGCGTGGGCCTCGACCCGTCCGACGCGGCGGGCGCTGCACTGCACGAGGCGGCCAAGCCTGACGATGCCAGGGTTTCTGGGAGGTTCGCGCGGATCTCTTGGATCGGCGTTGGGCCCCCCTGGCGGCGCCCCCGGCGCCGCCCCTGGCGCGTTCTGCGAGCCGGGGGGGGGTCCAGCGCCGATCCAAGAAACCCGCAGCGGACCTCCGAGACGTGAATTCGGTTTACGCAGCGGTTTGTTCCTCTAGTGAAGAATCACGACTCGTCGTCAGGAGGCATCTTTTGGGAAGTTCGAATCGAGAATCGGCGTTGGTCTACCCATGTTCGAGAACTGCCCTAATCTGGCTTAATACCGCGCAATATGGCATAATCCAGCTTTGTCCCGCTTTACCTGGCGAAATCCCCAGCCCAATCCGATCCGATCCTGTTTAGCGGCCCTTGACTCGGAATCAACATGGCCCTCATCGTTCTGACGAGGACTTCCCAGAAGCTGCATCCGAATCATCGTCTGCCGTCGTCATCGGCACCCCCTCGCGGACGCGAGGTGTTCTGCTGCGCTCGGCCTCCGTGTGCCCTCGCCAGGCCCTGCGACCGTTCGAAAAGGGTTCCGGAGGAGCCATCGATGCTCTGGAAGGGATCCAGGGTCCACGTTGCCCAGGCCCCCGACGTCATGATTTGTTTGTGACGTCGAGCCCCAGAGGTATGAGGTTCCAACTTAGTTTAGCCCTGATCGCCAGGAAGAATCTCGAGCGCCAGGGAAGTACCGACATCGGAGGGTTTTCACGTGTCGGGCCCTGGGAGGCGATACTCGTGCGACACTGCTTCGATTCTCTTCTGGGTGCTCGAAATCATGTCTGGGATGTGGCCCTGAAGTACGATGGGAGCAGCATCACCCCAGAGGTCTCGAACCATTCCCCAGGACACGTTTTTCGCCCTGGGCAGTTTTTGGTCGGTCCCGAGTCCCCGTGGAGGGCCCCCGGCGGCCGAAAACGGCGATTTCTGCCAGAACGCGAGGAACTCACACGACGTCGGCGGCCTGGAGCCGCCGCCGCGACTCTCCCTGAGATCCCGGCGCCGCAACTTTCTGACCAATGGCGACTTCGCCTTTTGCTCCGGGCCCCAGGGCCCACTGGGATTGATCGGGCTCACAGGATACTCGGCCACGCGCAGAGGGGGGGGGGGTAGGGGGAGGGGGGAAGGCTTCTTAGAAGCACACCTGCTTCTCAGGAGGCGCGGGCCTTGTCTATAGACGTAGGGCGGGCGCCTTCTAAGAAGCAGCCTCCCTCTAAGAAGCCGTCCCCCCTTCCCCTGCCCCCATGTGCGCGCCGCCAAGATACAGCAGATCGAGCGTACTTAGACCTCATGTCCCCCTTGGATTTCGCTTGGGAAGTCTCCCCCAGAGTCTCAGGCAGCAGTGTTGAGGTCCCCACAATCTCTGGCAGCGGACCTTCCTGGCGAAATTTCTGGCGAGATCTCTGGCCCAAACTGCCCGGCCAAAAATCTCCAGCCAAGAATCTCTGGCAAAATCTCCGGCCCCAAACATCCCCGGCGGGATCTATGGAATTCGGGGGGGGGGGGCCTTGTCGCCAGGGCTGACCGCAGCTCTGAGAGTTGGACCCCAGAGGGGGTCCAAGGACAGATTTCGAGCTGCCGTCACCTCGGCGCGCCCTGCTCCGCGCTGCCGCCGCCGCTGCCGCTGCTCGGGGGCAACGGGGTTCTCGCTCGAAAAATAGCTGAAGTTTCGGAGGTTTGTGCGGAGCTCCGACAGGTTGTACGTATGCATTTGTTCTTGCTTTGTTGTAGTCATCGTCATCATTGCTGCTGCCGCCGCCGCCACCACTACTGCGGTGGCGGCATCAAGGCACTCGCTGCACCAGAGTGGCCTGTCCCTTTCTATCAGAGGGGGGAAATAGCAGGAGAGCCCATAATCAAATCGAAAGCTCGGATCGGCGATCGAAATGCGTCGGATCGGCGGACATCGGCAGCCGAGTCGGGAGAAGTCGAACCGGCGGACATCGCCAGGCTAGCATGCCTCTGGTGAGGAACACCGGAGTCCAGGCCGGAGTCCGAAGCCGACGCCGGATCGAAGCGGAAGCCACCGGATCGAGACGAGCCCTGGAAGAGGCCGATGGGGGGGAGGCATCGAGCCCCGAGAGCGCCCAGTCATCGCCGCGGCCGGGGCCCGGGAGGCCCACCCGGAGCCCAGGAGCGCGCGGTCTCCTCCAGCAGGAGGGCCTGCCGCCGCTCCGTCGGCGACGTGTGCTGCCCCAGGTCGACGCGCCTCCCCCTGGAGGCCCTGGCCTGGAGGGTTTCTCCGCAGGGCTAAGGCGACCCGTCCTTCGCCTCCTCCTCCTCCTCCTCCTCCTCCTCCTCCTCCTCCCTCAAGCCATCTGGGCCCGAGACCCCATTTGGGAGGTTTTCATAGGACCCAGACCTCGGTGCTTGCACGGAGCGCTTGGGGGGCGCCGCAGCGACAACTGTCCTTCTAGAGTTCTTCTTTGCGGCGGCGGAAGCCGAGGATGTCACGTTTATTCCCGAAATGCGGAGGCCAATGATGTACTATCTCGAGCTGATCACACATGCAGAGTATGTTGCAGACAAATCCGCCTCTTTGTTCCCAGGAGAACCCGTTCAGATCTTCATCTCCAGGGGGTCCGCCGTGGCGGGTACGTTTCGAGAACGACACAGAGAATGATTTGGTCAAGAGTGCCGCCAGCCCAAAGCCGATCCTGAAGGGCTCCCAGACCACCCAACCCGCCGCAGAAGGCCAGGATCTTGTGGCTACGCTGATGGCCGCCATCGCGCAGACGTCCGATGCGCAGATGAAGGCGGCGCTGGCGGCTGAGCTAGCTAAAGTTGAGGTGCAGCCCCCACAGCATGTCGCCTCGCCAGCTGATGAGGTTCGACGCACGGACGCTGCGTGGCGAGATGCGGAGGTGAAGCACGATCAGGCGGCCAAGGCAGTCCAGCGATTCCGAGGCCAGCTAGAGCAGGCGGAGGCCAAGGAGCAGCTAGCGGCCAGGTCGCTGGCGCAGGCTGCCACTGCCACGTCTCAGGCCGCGCAGGCCATCGCTAAGGCTGATGGCGTGCTCATCACTCCCGACAACGTGGACGGCGACGACAAGGGACCCAGGTCTCTGTTCCATTTGTCCTGGGACCAGGAGCTGTTCGCCAACATCGACCAGCTCGAGCACGAGCAAAGCGAGAAGGAAAACTTGGCGCAACTAGAGAGGGACCTAGTCAGCACCAAGGACACTTGGAAGTCCAAGGAGGAGGAGGTGCAAGCTTGGTTGCGACGAGCAGCTGAGCTCAAGGCGTCCATCGAGGAGCGCCTCGGCAAGAAGAGGAGGAACAACGATGATCAAGCCGTCCCAGGAGGAGACGGCCAGTCCTCAGCCGTCACAGGTCATGCTGCAGCGCCGACGGCCACCGCCGCTGCGGCGGGCGAGGAGCCTTCGACGGAGCAGAAGGCATCACAGGCAGCAGCCGACGAGCAGCAGGCGAGCAAGGTCGAGGCCGAGGCCGAGCGCTTGTCCCGCGCCAAGTTTGCGGCGCTGAACGCCAACCTGCAGATGCGCGAGGGCAAGGGCAAGAACGGTTCCACCGCGGGGGCGACGCTCGGCAAAGGCGTGGGCGCCCAGCCCCAGTCTCAGGTGTGACAAGTACGTCAGCTCCGTCCGTCGCCCATTACTTCGGTCAGCACGACGGCGGATTCAGTGGCTGTATCTAGCAGGCCTACCTCTCCCTCATCGTCTACAGGCTCGAGTCCGAGCCAGGCTCCGCGGGGTGCATCCGTCGAGCCATCAGTTGATCAGGCAGACGCGAGCGATGACAACGCTCCCAGGTTCACCAACCTTGTTTTTGGACATGTCACGTGCATGGGCACCAAGGTCTGGCAGTACGTTGCAGAACAGAGGAAGTCCACTCAGTACTTTGCTATCGTCGAGATCCATGTCGGCAGGGGTTCAATCCGACAATGGGATGACAAGGCGAGGAGGCTTGGGATGAAGCTCTTCTGCAACCCAGCCAGGCCGAATGACAAGCATTTCAGAGAGCTGTCTATGGGGCATGGCAACGAAGGGGGCGAGTGGATCCTCACTCACGGGCATCTTCGAGCTCATTATCTTGATGCAGCCTCTGCGCCGACGCTGCAGCATGAGTCGACCAGGTCCAGCGACGGATTCTGCGCGATTACCATCGACATGAAAGGGTATTCGTTTGTCCTCATCACGTTCTACGGGCGTTCGGGCATTGGATTTTCGGGGCCCAATGTCATTCGCCACCGCCGCTCGGGAGCTCTTCTTCGAGCGTCGCAGCTCCCCTGGATTGTCGCGGCCGGTTTCAGCATCCGCGCGGCGGCGGTCAGCAAGGCAGGTTTCACTGAGCGAGTGGGAGGGCGCGCCCTCACGGCTAACGTGGACTACGCGTGCAATGCAGGGAAGGTCGGGTCTCACATCGGCTTCGCGATGCGCGGTACTTCCGCATGCAGCTACGCGGTGTCTGCGGAGCCAGAGAGGCGGCAGTGCCATGGAAGACCCACATCGGTTTGCGAGTGCGGCTTCGTGACCAGGGGCAGCAGCTGCTCGCGCGGTCACTCTCTCTAGCGGCGCGCCTCCCGCAGGCGCCGCGACCTGGGAAGGAGGGGCCGAACCCAGAGTCCAAGTCCAGTCGAGCTCGCGCCGCACGGCTGCTGGCAGCTCGGGAGATCGCGGCCGAGCGGGACGAGGTGCATTCGAGGCTCTATGGGGGCGTTCTGGCAGCCATCGGGCCCCAGAAGATCAGGGGGCCCAGCAGGAGCTCGAGGCTCGCCACTCTGAGCGCCCTGAGCCCCAGCCGGCGGTGCAAGTTGTCTCAGGCGCGTTTCGCGAAGAGATTTCGAAGTGTTTCGAGGGGGATCCTTGGGCAGATCAGCTCAGTTTTTGCGTGGAAGAGAGGCCGGAGCGAGATGCCTCCCTTCCCAGAGTTTTGACCCCATCTAATTACAGCAGTCTTCTGTCTTCTGGGGTCAGCGCCGACGGCCCCCCCCCCTCGGTGGAAGGCGGCGGGTCTGGCGCGGCTTGCGGGCCTTCGCGGAAGCTGGGCGGCGCCCCTGTTGGGGCGGCCCTCGCGGGGGGCCCCTGCGACGACCCCGCCCCTTGCAGCATCGGCGCTGGTCCTCTTGAGGCGTCGACCCAGCCCCCCCCCCAAGCCTCGGAGGCGCCCTAGCGTCAGTTATATGCTTCCCCCAGGTCTGTGGGATAAGCATAGACGGGCTGTACGTTCTTGCTTTTTCTCCTTCTCACCCCCTTCCCGCCTGCATCGGGGGCCCCAGAGCCTTCAACGTCAACCCTGAACGTGCTTTACTAGTCTGTGGGGTGCACGCGTCTTGGGTGTCTGCAGTTGAGGATACTATTCGCGCTCGCCATGAATCTGAGGAAGCTTCCAGTCTTCACAGCGCAGGAGGTCAGAGTCTCGGAGCAGCACCGAGCAGTTCCTCTGCGCGACCAGGTCGCCAGCTGGTGGGCAAGGGCCCACTCGCTTCTCACTTCACTGCGCAAGCATCGCGCTCGAGGCAATGGACTCGCGCAGCAGCAGGGATTGGACAGATAATGCCGACGCCTTGTTGAAGACAGGCCCGATCAGGTTCGCGCGTCGGCCCCGAACTGCCTCGTCCATCCCTGTCCCGAATGGCTCTCACTATTGTCGTCAAGTGGAAGCTGCTCGATCGTCCAGCTCGGCACCTTCGTTCAGTTTTCGGATAGGGTCGCCAGGTCTAGTCAACGTAAAGCACTACACCAGTCGCTTCGGGAGTTCCAGGACTGGGCCGTCTCGGGTTCCTCGTTGGGCGCGCTCCACAGGGCCATGAGGCAGGATCCAGTGCCCAGTTTGGAAATCGGCGACGACTCGGCAACTCTACCACCCGAAAGATATAGTCGATTTCAAGTCAGGCAAGTGGCATAGCAAGTGGGCTCCGCCCATCTCCGACCCCGGCGAGGCGCTTGGGAACGCTCTCGAGACTATTCGGCAGGCGATCAGAGATGATCTCGATCCTCTTCCTGAGTTAGGAGTGGAGGATGTGAGGCGGGCCCTGATATCCATGAAGCCTCGCGCGGGGATGGGGGTTGACCGTCTCGCGCCTTGCGATATGGAAAGGCTGCCCGATGCTGGGGTGGCCAAGCTATGCGCGCTGTTCGCCGCGATAGAGCACCTGTTGGTCTGGCCCGTACAGGCCATGCTCGTCCTCGGCCGCCTCCTCCCAAACAACAAGCTGAATGGGGGCCGCGTGATCGGCCTCACCTCGGCGCTGTCTCGGGTGTGGAGTATGTCGCGAGAGCCTTGGGTTAAGTCTTGGTCGAGGTCCACTGAGGCCCATTGGGATGCAGCCATTATCGGCAACTCGTCGCTTCGCGAGGCGGTCCGACGGGTTCTAGACGAAGAAGTTGCGGGAGTCTTGGGAGTCACATACGCACGTGCTCTCACCGATACCGACGGGCACTACGGTAACATGTTGTGGCCCAAGTTAGCCCGAGCTGCACTTCGGCTCGGGTTTCCACCCACGCTTCTATACCTTGAACTACTACAATGTTCACAGCCACGCTCCTTGCAGCAGATTTGAGCTTTTTTCGATGGCTTCCGAGCCAACGTGCAATATCATACAAGGATTACGCTCTGGGACACGTTTCGCACGAGCGATGGCGCAGTTCATCATGGAACGGATATGTAGTATGAATGTGCGGTGCAGCCACCGCCTCTGGATCGACGATCTGTCGCAGGCCACCAAGGGGTCGGCGGCGCAAGTCAAGCGCGACATGATCGAGTGCCTAGTCACCACAGCCCGTCAGCTCAAGGTGCAATGCCTCGGCGTTGACCTAGGTGCTGGAGTTCGCCGCGCTCGTGAGCAGCGCGTCAAGCGCAGCTCCAATAACCTCATTCGACATCGTACGGTGGTCAAGTATGTCAAGACCCCCGGGAGGACCACGATCACTTCGCGACTCGAAAGGCAGGGGGGCCAAGCTGCTGGATCTTATGGGTATGAGGTCTACGGCGTCGTGGGCCAGGAGCTGGTTCGATATCGACAACTCTGGGTGCAGCCTGCGGGGCGCGAGTCCGCGGTCGCTGCCTCACGACGCTGCTCGAGTTGGAGGCCGCGTCGCTCGACCCTGCGCAGCGTTTCATCACTGGTACGTCCCGGCAGTGGCTGACGAACTGGCGTCGGCACCCCGAGGCGCGACCAGGTATCATTCGGGCGGGGGATAAGGTCCGCCTGAAGCTGGAGGCCATACCCCACGCCCAGAGGTCTAGGCACATAAGGGGTCCCATGTCGGCGGTGATCTACCACTTGCTGGATTTCGGGTGGACCCCGCAATCGCCGACGTTGTGGCCCCCTCCTGGTTTGACGTTTTGGGCTTCTCCGACTGGAAATTTTACGGGCAGAGAAGCCATCGATGACGCCAGTTTCCATTAATTTTTCGACGACATCAGGACTGCAGCCATGGCGCCCATATGGGCGAAAGCTGCGCGACATTTTGATGGCGACGGCTTGGAGCATGGGACTGGCAGTTACTCTTACCGCCGCCTGCTACGTCAACTTCAACACATTCCTCACATGGGGCGTCGCCCGGCAGCGCTTCTCTTATCAGTCGCCACTGGGGCCAGTTGGCCCACGGCACGAAAGCAGGCAGTGCTGTCCAGAGCCAGTCTCCAAGCCATGGGAGGCGATGACAAGTGCAATCGATGTGGCGAGGAGAGCGAGACCTCACTGCATCGCTACTGGACGTGCCGCTGCAATACGGGGTGCGCGGCATACGAGCGCAGCGACATCCTGATCCCACAAGCTTGCAGTCAAGGGGATGCTCATTCATGTTGCTGGTTTCGTGGGCTGCTGCCAGCCGACTGGACGGTTACGCCCGCGCCTCAGTTTGTTGATGACTGGAGCTGGGAAGGTTTGAGCAACGGGTTCTCTCGACGGTGTTTCCCACGGGGCACCTGCGACCGACCTGCGTTGGTCTTTGGTGACGCCAGCGGGGGTCCTGACACAAGAGACCCCCGCCTGCGTCGTGTTGCTCTTGGTGCCACGGTGATCAGCGATTTCACTGCAATGACACTGGATTGTTCGATATCACGTGGCTTGGCAGGAGCCAGGCAGACTGTGGCGCGTGGTGAAGTCAAGGCTCTTTGGTTATGCCTGTACTGTTGTAGTGGGGTTACGCATTATGTGGCGGACAATGAGAATGTTTATCTGGGTTGGATCAATCGTGCGTTTACGAACCCCACGTGTGCTGACGCTGATATGTGGGCAGAGATCGGCCGTGTCACGGCTCATCTCAATTGCGATGACATCGCCGTCTTTTTCATTCATACCCACCAAGAGGCGGAAGCAACGGTTCAGAACCCTACTATCGCATGGGAGATTTTAGGCAATGCCGCCGCGGACGAATTGGTCCCACTTGCGGCCCTGGAAGTTGGACTGGATGGTTCTGTGAGATCTAGATTGTTGCAGCTGGAACGAGATGTATTCCTTATTCGTCATCGGCTACTTTGAGCTGCTTTCGATTGTGTACGTGCGGGAGCTAGTAAGCATGATGAGCATGGTGAGGTGAAAGGCAAGCGTCCCTCTTCCTCTCCTGTTGTGCCCCCTGCCCCGTCTGCCGCTTTAAAGTTTTCGACCTCCCACGTTTTTGGGGGAGTGTGACCGTCGATGTGCTAGGTGCTTTGGAAGCGCCTCGTTGGAGACCGCTAGCCTCTGGAAGGCCAGCCCTTGTTTCGTCCCAGTGCCCCAGTGAATCTCAATGGTTCGTTTCATACCCTCGGGGCTGACAACAACGTTCACATTGGGGGAGGCTGGGCCCATAAGAGCAATAGTAGGATCTTGTGCACTAAGTTAGGCCTTTGGTTCTGTGGAACTTGCGGCAGTTATGCCGGCAAGCGTGCTTCTTCTAATTTACACAAGAACTGCGATTTGGAAGCCACACCCACGGGAGTTGAATATTTAAGGCGTATACGTCTTGTGCTACCACCCAAGGCCTTCCGCCAAACCGAGAGGGAGGCCCGACGGGGGCCCGTTGGGATGTCTCCCTCCCTGGTGTGAGGCGGTTTTCCCTTTTATTTCACTTAGTGAACTAACTTGCTCTTGCTCTTGCTCCTCCTCCTCATCCTCCTCCTCCTCCTCCTCCCCCTCTTCCTCCATCTTCTCCTCCTCCTCCTCCTCCTCCTCCATCTTCTCCTCCTTCTCCTCCTCCTCCTGCTCCGCCTCCTCCGCCTCCGCCTCCTCCTCCTCCGCCTCCTCCTCCACCTCGGGTCGCCTGCAGCCCCGGGGGAAACCGTGTAACCCTGACTTTGTCCCCCACTGTCGTTCCCCCTCATCACCGAGACTGCCGCCAGTGTCAACGCCATCGGCGCGCCTTCCGAGCCTCAAGATTCGAGGGTTCGAGGCTCGGGGCTCGAGGGAGCCGTCGTCGAGTCGTCGAGAGTCCGGGATCGAGGACCAATATTTCTTGGCCCGTGGCGTTGCCGGTCATCGTCGTTGCCGGCCGTCGTCGAGGCTCGAGGTTGTTGTGTGCGGCTTGCATTTTCTGGCCTTTGGGAGGTTCAGCAGGGACCTCCCGAGAATTTTGAAGCTGGACGACGATGTCCGTCGTCGTCGTCGTTCCTCGCTTGGAGAGGGGGGGCGTCTCTGGAGCGCTCGAGCCCTTCCTGGGGCCACCTGTGTTCCTCCCCCTACGAGTACGGCCGAATTGTGAAACACTTCGGCTCAAATTTGTCAGTCAAGTCGCCACAGGTTGTTGTCGTCGTCGTCGCCACAGGTCTGGGGTCTGGGTCCCTCCTCAGGCGCCCGATGTTTTGATTTCTTGCGATACGCACCCTTGAAATCCCAGCCCTTCCCCCAGAGCCGGATTTTCAAGACCCGAAATCAGCCCCCAGTCCCAGAAAATATGTTCTGACCGAGTGTTTCGATTCTGTCAGGACGCGAATCTCTCTTCTGACGCAGTATTTTTGCGGCGCGACCCCTCGGAGAGCTCCACCCATTCTGCAGATGCTTCATCCTGACGAGTCGTCTGCTGTCGGTCCTGGGGCCGAGGAGCGGCTTCCAGACGCAAGCGGCGAGAAGCGACATCTGCCGCCGTGTTTTGCTGCGTGGCAGAGATGAGGGTTGTACTCTCTCCGACGTCGTGTTCCATGATTTGTTTCACGACGTGGACCCCTGGAGGTCAGGAGGGGAAAAAAGACACAGACACAATTAATCGTCGATTTCCCAGAAAATATGGGAAAATATGGGAAGTGGGGGGGAAGACGAAGACTCAGAAAATATGGGAAAATATGGGGAATAGTTTTATTTGTGTGTATTTATTTGTGTGTCCCAGGGCCCCTTCAGGAGGTCTGGACCCTCTCCAAAAACATGGCGTCACGGTCTCTGTGGCGTCGCCCGGGGGGGTTCGCGAGCGATGCCTCCGGCGGCCGTTCGGGGAGGTCCGGGGCCACCCCTCCGGGAGCGCGCTTACCCTCGGCGAGGCGCGCCTGCTCGCAGGAACCACGCGGCTGGAAGACCTCTGGGGGCCAGCGAAAGACGTGCGACCCTTAAAAGATCGGGGGTGGACAGAAGCCCCCAACAGTGACACGTCGATTAGTGAATTGTCCGTTTTCGGTTCTCGAGAGGGCGCCGCGCCGTTATTTTCCAAGCTTGCGCCCGCCAGGTTTGGGCTTCAGGTCGTTTTCACTAAACCACGTTTTACTAAAGGGAGGTCTGTCCACCCCCGAAAATAACAGAATGCGGGGCGATGACGGCCGTCACCGGGGGAAAGTGGGGGGAACGGGGCCAGTGACGTCACGTTTCGCGCCAGCGGCGTCTGGGAATGCCTACAGGAATGACCGGGGACGGGTAGCAGCAGAATGTATACGGGGCGATCTGCACCACAGCGCCGGTGTGAACCGCAGTGCTTGCGTGCACCACAGCGCCCGTGTACGCCGCAGCGCCTGTGTGCACCACAGCATCCGTGCGCAACACATCGCCAGTGTACACCGCAGTGCCTGCGTGCACCACTGCCTGTGTACACCTCGGCGCTTGTGTACACCACAGCAACCGTGCGCAACAGAACACCACTGGTGTATATATATATATATATATATATAAATAGAGAGAGAGAGTTTTAGAAGTAGGAGTCCTTCTGACAAAATGGAGCGCCTGTAGATTCCACCGGAACAAGAAATATGTTATACAGGATTTGGAAAAGAACCCTTACGGAAACAGGAGCGGTTCTGGAACCTACGAGTCTTCCCGAAGAGGAGGAGGAGGAGGAGGAAAAGGAGGAGGAGGAAAAGGAAAAGGAAAAGGAGGAGGAGGAGGAGGTGTGTTGCCTTGGGGATCGGTACGCGCATGGAGACAGGGAGGGCGCCGTCCTGAAGGAGTTCGCTTGAGGAGTCCGACGCTGTCCAGGCAGTGCAGTGGGCGGAGCTGCGGCATGGGAGCGCGGTCGCTTCATGGCGCGAGCGCTTACCTTTTCCCTGCGCGTTCCCATTCTGCGGTGAACACTGAGATGCGCACATGCGCTGTAGCGCCGACCCGCACGACGGGGAGAAGAGTGGGGGAGGAGGTGGAGGAGGAGGAGGAGGAGGACGAGGAGGAGGAGCAAGGAGGAGGGAAAATCATCGAGTGTGATTATCAATGCTACCCCTGCGTGGTGTTTAACTGTCCGCATCATATCCTCACCTACATGCTCCTTCTACTTGTCCTGTGCACGCAAGCGTTGTGGTGTGCACCAGCGCTGTATTGCACGCGGATGCTGTGTACACAGGCGCTGTGCTGTACACAGGCGATGCGGTGCTCGCAGACACTGTGGTGTACACTGGCGCTGTGTTGCAGACGACTGCTGCGGTGTACACTTTCGCTGTGGTGTACACGTGCGCTGTGGTGCACGCAGGTACCGGCATTCGCGGACGCCGCCGGCGCTGAACGTGACGCCACCTTGGAGGAGGGGGGGTGCGGGGTCGGTAGACGGCCGTCATCGCGGAACATCAAAAAAACTCAGACGCACAGCCCCTTGAGTCTACCCAGGCACCGTTGGGTTTTTTGACTCCGCGGCCCGAGAGTTCCCGACCCCTTCCCGTGTGGGTGATTGCTCTTCCCTGATCAATGTTTGATCGCCCCAGGGCCCGATAACGGGCCCTAGAGGCCGGAATCGAGGCAAAAACGCAAGGATCAAAAAAGAATTGACAGTCGGTTTCGGTAGCAATTCATGAGAGCCGCGCGTCTTCCCGCAGTTTCGCTTCCAGAGTGCACTAGCGGTAGCATGTGCTAGCGTCGGCTCATCGATGGGAAGTCGCCGACTTAGCGTCGACTAGCGTCGATCACCGTCGGTTCGCAAGAGCCAGCAAGATGGCACGGAAGGCTCCCATAATTCGGAGTCCTGGCCAGAACCTCAGGCGAGAATCCGACCGACGAATCTCCAGCGCCGAGCGCCCGAACCAGACCGCAGGTTCGGGTCCGACGGAGGGGAGGGGGGAGGGGGAGGGGGGGGGGGGGGGGCACAGTGGCAGCCAACACCAAGAAACACCCTGCTTGCCTCCAGGGTGCCTTGGGGTTCTTGGGTTTCGATGGTTTTGCGATGGAAAGCGTGACGTCCCCCCCCCAAACAAATCAAGCACTGGACGTCCTGGATCTCAGGGTTGGGCTTCCTGTGGATGGCTTCTTGTGGCCGAGCCCCCACTGTACGAGAGCTGCTGCGTGCAGCTGGCTCTCGCCCCGCTGCCCGGCGCCTTCCTCGATGCACCGGCGCCTCCAGCTCAGGGGAGCGCTGGGAGAGTCGGCTACGCGAGGTGGCTCACTACGGAGGGGACGTTTGGTTGAGGAGTGTTTCCAAGTGTTAAGTCGGGCCTGTTCCCAGGGGGATCTTCTACGAAAAATGAGGAATACCCAGAAAATACCCCCCAAAGGTTAAAACATATTCAAAAAATAGTCCCCAGACTAGTTTTGGATTATTATTATTATCGTATTATTATTATTATCATTATTATTATTATTATTATTATTATGATGATGATGATTATTATTATTATTATTCTAGACGCTTCGCGTATCCCTACCAGCCCGTCCAGAAACGACGCCCAGGCGAGTAGAGGATCGTCCTGAGGGGCTTTTCGGCGTCTTGGGCGCCTCGGGGGGGCCGTTCGGAATCCTCTTTGGGGCCTCCTGGGGGCCTCGTGGGGCCTCTTGGGGCCATCTTGAGGCCTCTGGGAGCACCTTGGGGGCCTCTGGGGGGTCTCTTGGGGCCTCTTGGGGGTCTCTTGGGGGCCCCCTGGGGGCCTCTTGGGGGGCCTCGTGGGGCCATCTTGGGGCCATCCTGCGGCCTCTTGGGGCATCCTGGGGGCCTCTTGCGGCCATCGTAGAGGAAATCGATCAAAGAAGGGGGGGTCCTAAATTTCAGCCCCCCCCTCAGAAGGCCAAAATGGGGCCGAAACTATAGTAAAATCAATGATTTTGGCTTCCTTGCCGAGGCCGTCTTGGGCGCTCCAACGCGCCGCGGAACCCCCTGTCCAGATCAGTGAGGAGGGGGTAGGGGGAGGGGTAAACCCCTCCCCGAAGGGGAAGAAGGAGGGGTGGAAGAGGAAACTCCTTAAACCACCGACGCCCAGAGGGCTGGTGGGATGATGATGATGATGATGATGATGATGATGATGATGATGATGATGATGATGATGATGATGATGATGATGATGATGATGATGATGATGATGATGATGATGATGATGATGATGATGATGATGATGATGATGATGATGATGATGATGATGATGATGCTGATGATGATGATGATGATTATTATTATTATTATGATTATTATTACTATGATTATTATTATTAGTATTATTAATAGTAGTATTATTATTCGTATTATTATTATGTAGATTGCGTTTTTGTCTAAAATCCCCCTGTCGGGGGACAGGCCCGACTTAATCCAAGGGGCTTCCGACCCCGAGGGGCTCCTTATCCAACCGGGGCGGCAGTGATGCCCTTGGCCCATCCACGGTTGGAGCTCCACCTGTCTCCAGACGTAGGTCGGGCATGTCCCTCTACAGGGGGAATATTCAAAGATAGTCAAAAATGGTCTGGGGACTATTTTTTCTGGACAATTCTTGAATATTTGGGGGGTATGTTTAGGGTGTGTCTTATTTTTCACCCAAAATCTCCCTCTAGGGGGACACGCCCGACTTGATTCCAGACCGTGGGTTCCTTATCCGAGGCCCTCACCGTATACACGGGCGGCCCGAGGTAAAGAAAAGGTCGAAGTCGATTCGGGGAGCGTGCCCGAATGTTCTCCGTGCTTGTTGGATGCTCCTGCGCACCCTGGAGAGGGTGCCCTTGGATGCTCTGTGTGTCTTGGCCGGCGGAAGGTCTGGTGCTCTTGCAGGAGGCTCGTCTGTCCCAGGCCCCGCCGGATCCCAGGCCCCCACCGTGTATATATATATATATATATATATATATATATATGTATGCCCACCCTGTGCTGCTCCCCCCCCCTTCCCGCCCAGATCATCATCGTCCCCCTTCTCCCCTCCACCCTTGCCCCTCCTGCTCGCCATCCTCCTCCTCCTCCCCCTCCTCCTCCTCCTGCTGCTTCCTCCGGCTTCTCTCCCTCTCTTCCTCCGCCTCCTCTGCCTCTCTCTCCTCCCCGCCAGGTGCTGCCCCGCCCCCCTTCCGCCGAGCCCGCCAGGTCGCACTCGCTGGCGGCCCTGCGGCCGAACCTCTTGCGGGGGGAGGAGCCCGCCGCGCCGGACCCGGCGCCGCCGGGCCCCGGCGCGCCTGGCGGCGGCCACCCCGCCTTCGCGTGGGCGGAGGCCCGGCCGCTCCCCCTAAAACGACGCGAAGATCGGGGCAAAATCGGATCGGGATAACTCGAAATCTCTGAGAAACGGCGGGTTCGGAGGATGTATTGGGCGCCGCGGCCGCTCCAGAGCGTTCCGGAACGCTCTGAGAGCGCTCCGGAACGCTCTGGAGCGATTTATCCCGATCCTAGCCCTGTTTTACCCCCACGAGCCGCCACGAGGGTTAAGTCGGGCGTGTCCCCTACAGGGGGATTTTCGACGAGAAATAGAACATATGCAAAAATATACACCCAAAAAGGTAAAACAATACCCTAAAAGTAGTTTCCCGGATTATTTTTTGATTATTTTTGGGGTCTGGGGCCGTGGGGTGCTCGGAGGTGCTCGCTGCTTCCCCGCCGTGGGCTTTCGCTGGCTCGCAGAGGGTGTTCCGGCCTCGGGGTGCTCTCCGGCAGCTGCGCCTCGTCGGGAGCGTGCCGTGGAGGCCAGGATCGTCACGAACGGCCGCTGGAGAGCAGAGTTATGGTTAAGTCGGGTCTGTCCCCCTAAAGGTAGATTTTCGAAGAAAAATAAAAGATACCCCAAACATGGGGGAAAAACAAAAAATCCGAAAATAGTCTGGGGACTATTTTTTAGTATGTTTTTTTTGTTTACCTTGTTGGTGCATTTTGGAAGACTTCTTGTTTTTCATCGAAAATCCCCCTGTAGGGGGACACGCCCGACAGAAAGTTATGGCACACAGACCAGGTGAGCCTCAACACTGTATGGTGACGGACCGCTCGGCGACCTCGAAGCCCCAGGAGACCCCACCACGCGGTCCGTCACCGCACGGCCCTGGGTCCTCGGAGGCCCCCCGTCGCCCGAGACGTCCTCGGAGAGCGAGCCGAGTCCCCGAAACCGAGCGGTGACCCCAAACCCCCACTGACTCACCACGCGGCGTGGGTTCTCGCAGTCCAAACGCATCTTTTCCATGTCGGCCTCCAGGGGCCGCTCTCGGCCCTTGGGGTCCAGTCGGGCCTGTCCCTCTACAGGAGGCCCATTCAAACATCGTGAAAAAGAGCCAGGGGACTTACAGCAATATGTTTGCTTATTGTTTAGACACTGCGTGACTATTTTCTAATTTTTCTACCAAAATCCGCCTGCAGGGGGGCATGCCCGACCTAACCTTGGGGCCATCACACACGGATCCGTCGTACGCAAGCCTACCCCGGGGGAGGAGGTCGGGCGCTCTGGGACCGCGGATTGGACAAAGCATGGTTGAGGATGTTTGGGAACGGGCCCTGGAGGTGCTAGTCCCCGTGCCAGTAGATCGTCAAAAGACGCTTCATGCGGCAAGGCCAGTCCTAGGGGAAACCCACTGGGTCAAGGACTCGTTTCCCTCAGGACGCGTCTCCTTCACCCACACCACGAAATCTTAGTTTGGCGGCGCGCACAAGTGTCGGAATCTAGACATCCCCTGGGATCCTGGCGTCGCATTTCTCCCGCACCGGGCTACTTCCCCACAAGGAAGTGCCACAGTGCCACAGAATGACGGGGTCGAAGAATCCATGTGCAGTTTCTCTTGACGATGCATTTTTCAGCGAAGTCGGATCAGGCGGTCTTCGAAGAAGGCGGGGGGAGTCTAAGATTAAGTCGGGCCTGTCCCTCTACAGGGGGAATATTCAAAAATAGTAAAAAAATAGTCCGGAGATGTTTTGCCATTTGGGAGTGTTGTTTGAGTATTTGTTTCGTCCGTCGAACATCCCCCTGTAGGGGGACAGGCCCGACTTAACTCTAAGAAGGCAGGGGCCTCCTCAAGAACACTCCCAGATTCCAAGAGCCAGTCTTAGAATCGTCTTGGCCCTTCTTAGAGCCCCCCCCCCCTGCCTTCTAAGAATCAGGAGGGGAAAACACACACAGACACAATTAATCGTCGGTTCCCCAGGAAAATATGGGAAAATATGGGGAGTGGGGGGAAGACAAAAACCAAGAAAACATATGAAGATATGGGGTACCCCTTGATTTGTGTGTACTTATTTGTGTGTCCCAGGGCCCCTTCATAAGAAACACCCCAGGTTTTCAGAGTACCACCTCCCTGGCGCCACCCCATTCTGCGCCTCCTCGTCATCCTCCTCCCCCTCCTCCCCCCCTCCTCCTCCTCCTCCTCCTCCTCCTCCTCCTCCCCCTCCTCCTCCTCCTCCTCCTTCTCCTCCTCCTCCTCCTCGTTCTCCAGTGTGTCCTACAGAAGCGGAGTTCTTTTGGCGCTCTCTGACTCTGGAGGCCGTCTTCGGATGCCGGGCCCGTTGAGAAACCACTCGGGGCGAAACGCTGGCCCCCGGGAAGGTGTCGGGCCCTCCGGGAGCACCCGATCTTCGGGTATCGGGAGCCTCGAGACGGGGGTCAGTGCAGACGGGGGTCAGCCAGGGCGCCGGATCCTGCAGGATCCTGCGAAGACCCCCTCTGGCTGACCCGGGTTAGCGAGCCGCTCGTGGCCGCGAGGCGGCCGCGCCTATTGGCTGACCCGGGTTTGCGAAGACCTGCGTTGCAGTTTTTTTCCTGCATTGCAGTTTTTGGTTTCCTGCTGACCCGGGTCTGGATTGACCCGGTCAGAAGATGCCCGAGGGCAGTGCCGCTGGGGGCCGCCACCAGGGGGGCCACCAGCTCCTCCCCTCGGGATCCAGGCTCCAGGATCGAAGCTCGAGAGGGTCATTGGACCTGTCTGGGGCAGTCTTGGACGGCTTCGGGGGTGGTCTTGGCGGCCAAGCTCCTCGAGGAGCTGACGCTTCCTCGAGGAATTGGCGAGCCCCCTGGTGGTGACCCCCCCCTTGGCATTGTCGGACGGGGCCAGGACGAGGACAAGTCCGTCCCAGAGCCTTCCGGCGCGCTCCCAGGGCGTTCCAGAACGCTCTGCGAAGGCCGCGCCGCCCGAGACATCCCCCAGAGATGATCGATCCATCCTCGCCCGATGTCATCCTCGTCGATGACAGCCCCCGCGCCGGACGGACGCCCCCCGAGCCGAACTGCCGACCCGCCACGTCGACCGACGCTGGCGGGTGGCGCGTCAGGGCGCCGGCCGAAGCACATGGGCACCATACTCCCCTCGAGGGTGGTGGGAGGGAGAAAACGAAAACCCCCGTGCCGAGCAAAAAGAGCACGGTCATCGGATGCCTTGGGCGCCGGCAGGCCCCAAACGACACCCCCACACCTCTGACTGCACGGCGGGGGCGCGCCAGCGGGGGGGGCGCGGCGGACCGGCCGAGGGGGTGGCGCGTCCAGAGGGAGAGGTCACCAGCTTGGAGCAGATCCCTATCCCTATGATGGGCATCTCCACACATCTCGATGCCACCTTAAGGAGTCCCTTCAGTTTTGACGAACGAGCAGCTCACACCCATACCCATAAGGGGGGTCGTTGGGAGGAGGACTGGCTATGGGTATGGGTGCGGGTTGTCGGACCCTGGGGAACGCTCCCGTTCGAGCGGGGACCCCCATCCTACAACACGCACTCATAGCCCTCTCCGACCCCTCTATGGGTATGTGTGTGTGTTGTTTGTTCGTCAAGTTTCTGGGAGTGCATCCCTGAGTTTGTGGAGTGTCACTCTCAGGGACAAGTTCGAGGCTGCTTAAGAGGGGGACTTGAAGGAGAGGCCCACGTTCCTTGCCTTGTTCCGGGCCCTCTCGAGGTTCGAAGCTTCGAGCTTCGCCCTTGAACGTATTCTGGCGTCTCCGTCGGTTCTCGGCGGCTTTCCAGCCTCGGGCCGCCTTCCAGCAGCTGCGCCTCGCCGAGGGCGCTTCGGGGGTACCCGAATGGTCCCGAGCGGCCGCCAGAGACCCGAGGTATGGCCCAAAAGCCACCGGGCTCCCTGAAATCCGGGCGTCGCACTTTCTAGCAGCAGCGGGCGAGGTTGCCCTGCTTCGGGCCCCGGGGCCCTCACGGATCGGCCCAGCTCGAGAAATGCGGCAGAAAGGTGGGGTCCAACGCCCCAGTTGAGTTTGTTGTGCGAGGTTGCCATTTGTCGCGACGTTGGAGCTCAGAGCCAGACGCCATCCGATCTGGTTCCTTCAGTCCGGGGTCCCAGAGGTCTCGACCCGAAATGGGACGAATTTCAACCGACGAGTCCCAATTCCAACCGTTCGGAGCGAATTGCAACCAGAAATGGGACCAATTACAACCATGGGATCTTCAGAAGTACTTCTTTCTTCTTCAGAAGTTCTTCTTTCTTCTTCAGAAGTACTTCGTTCTTTTTCAGAAGTACTTCGATTCCTTGGGATTCCATAGGATTCCTTAGGGTTCCTTAGAATTCCTTTGGATCCTCGGGATTACTTAGGATCCTTGGGATTCCTTAGCATCCTAAGGATTCCTTAGGATCCTTCGGAATTCCCGAGGATTCCTCCGGATTCCTTCAGGAATCCTTAGGAATCTCTGCGAATACATAAGAATCCTGAGAAATCCTCAGGGGAAGGGGGCGCTTTGGGTGCCTTCTTGGGGTCTCTCTGGGCCACTCTTAGGGCCCTCTTGGGGCCTCCTTGGAGCCCTCCTGGGGCCCTTATTGATTTTTTGGAGCGCCCAAATATGCCCTTGAAGGGCCAACTTTCGAGGGCTGCAGGGGGGCCCAGCAGAGTGACGTCCTATGGGGGCTCAGATTGGACCTCGCCATCCCTGGGGGGGGCTGCGATCTGCGAAACTGTCGCCACTTTCGAGGGGTGCTGGTGGGTCCAGTGGACTGGCGTCCTACAGGGGGCCCTAGAAGAGCCCGAAACGGCCGTAAGAGGGAAAAGGCAACCGACAAATATTCGATGTTTCGGAAGGAGGCGGGAAGAACAACCAACGAATATTTCATTTTTCGGAAGGGGGCGCTTTGGGGGCCTTCTTGGGGTCTCTCTGGGCCACTCTTAGGGCCCTCTTGGGGCCTTCTTGGAGCCCTCCTGGGGCCCTTATTGATTTTTTGGGGCGCCCAAATAAGCCCTAGAAGGGCCAACTTTCGAGGGCTGCAGGGGGGCCCAGCAGAGTGACGTCCTATGGGGGCTCAGATTGGACC